AAGGAGCAGAGAGCCCGATGCGGGACTCGATCCCAGGACGCTGGGATCATGACCTGAGCCGAAGGCAGACGCTTAACCATCTGAGCCACCCAGGCGCCCCAGTATTTCCATTTTTTTAAAGTAAGCTCTATGCCCAACATGGGGCTCAAACTCATGACCCCGAGATCAAGAGTCTCATGCTCTATTGACTGAGCCAGCCAGGCACTCTCAATACTTCCAAAGAATAAAGATATTCTGATATTCTCTTCCTTAACCACAGTGTCGTTGTCAGATTCAGCAAATTTAACATCAATATGATACTCTTACCTAATCTGTCTGTATTACAATTTTGTTAATTGATCCAATAATGTCCTTTATAGCATATTCTTCTTCTAGCAAAAGATCCAGTCTGAGACCAGGTGTTGCCTTTAGTTGCCCATATCTCTTTCGTCTCCTTCAATCTAGACCGTTTCCACGGCCTTCCTTTGTCTCTGAAGACACGTTCTAATAGAATGTTTGTCATTTTGAGTTAGTTCAGTTTGTCCTCAGGATTACATACAAAATGCCTTTCTGGCTGGAATATTGCATACGTGGTGCTGTCTCCTCAGAGTGTCCCATGTGGAGGCACACAACATCCATCTTCCCCTCGCTCACATTAATTTTGATCACCCAGCCAATCCTGGTCTGAGTTTCCATTGGAGAGTTACTATGTTTCCCTTACAACTAGGAAGCAAATCATGGGGATACACTTTATGGCAGTGCAGTACCTTGATTCTCATCAGATTTCCCTCGTAGTTTAGTATCCACTGACGATTCTTAATCTATGCAAAATGATGATTTTCCAATGCCAGCACTCCTTCCATATTTTCCAGCAGCTTTTGGCCTTCTGATGTAGGCAAGAGTCCTGCCTTACATTGTCAGCATTTGCTAATGGCTCCCTTCCCTAATGCGTACTACGTGGTTGGCGCCTTTGGATTTGTATCTGGAGGTATTTAGGTCCTCCCTCCCTCCCTCTCTCCCTCTCTCCCTTCATCAATTTGGATTCACAAATTTCTATTTTTCTCAGTGGTTTATAAATTTATTATTCTTAATTATTTTGATGCTCCATTTGTGCCAGATATGGCCAGTGGTAGTCCCAGGGTTTTAAAATTCAGTTTCTCAACGGAAACGCTCTGTGAAGGTCACAGCAGAGAGTTATTTTTTGGATCCGAGCTAGGCCTCTACCCTGAGACAGCTGTATTACTGTGGTAGCCGTGAAGTTTTCCACCAATGCTGTGAGCTTGCCCGGTAGTTTGAAAACTGTGTGCTGAAAGCTCCGTGCTTTGTTTTCTTTGTGTGTCCAAGACAGGAATGAACATTTGTTTATTGTAGGCCTTCTGCCATTTTTTGTAGTTGCCTCACAGAGACCCCAACAAGGTACAGAATTCTCAGTGTTAGGGCCTGCTCAGAGATGCAAGGAGAAACCGGGGCCCTTTTTATTATGGGCTCCAAACTCTTGGGAAGGGAAATTGTCTTGGTCAAATTACAGTACCATCATCTCCTTTTTTTCCTCTCAAGGGACATTTTACTGGAAAATCGATGCTATAGTAGTAAGAAAGCAGCTGCTAATACGGTACCAAAGCACATCACTCCTGCTGTTTAGTATACCTTGAGATTTATTTCAGGCATTAATTTACTTGTTGATGGAATATTTAAAGCTATTAATGGAATATTTAATATGTTTCTCCGTATTGGGAAGAACTCATCATTTCCTACACTCCATAGGATTTACAGGATTTCCTGGTCCAAAAAATAGCCACGCTGTCTTTCTGTTGAGGTTTTATTAACTATGAAAAGAACTAACACTCTACCAGCACTTACTCTGTGCAGGACATTGATGTGAATACTGCAGTTACACAATTCTAGGAGGGAAATTGTTATTATTATTATTTTTTAAAGATTTTATTTATTTATTTGACACAGAGAGAGAGAGTACAAGCAGGGGGAGCAGCAGGCAGAGGGAGAGGGAGACGCAGGCTCCTTGCTGAGCAGGAGGCCGGATGCGGGGCTCGATCCCAGGACCCTGGGATCATGACCTGAGCCAAAGGCAGACGCTTAACCGACTGAGCCACCCAGGCACCCCTAGGAGGGATATTATGCTCTCATTATGGTGAGTAGGCAACTGAAGCACAGAAAGATTAAGTAATTAGCCCAAGGTCACACAGTTGGTGCTTGAGGTAGAGTTGAATCTGGTCAATATGGCTCTAAAGCCTAATGCTCTAATTCCTATGCAGAGAAGGCAAAGGGGATTAACATTTCTTTTTTTTTTTTTTTTTAAAGGTTTTATTTATTTATCTGAGAGAGAGAATGGGAGACAGAGAGCATGAGAGGGGGAGGGTCAGTGGGAGAAGCAGACTCCCTGCTGAGCAGGGAGCCCGATGCGGGACTTGATCCCGGGACTCTAGGATCATGACCTGAGCCGAAGGCAGTCGCTTAACCAACTGAGCCACCCAGGCGCCCCGGGATTAACATTTCTTGATACTCTTGACTTACCTGATACAATGAACAAGCACAATAAGCAGGAATCCGAAGTAGAAGAAGAAGAAGATGAAGAGACTGATAAGGATGGAATTCACATCAACAGATCCTGAGGGAAGAGAAACAACTTTAGTCAGGGTGTCCTCAGGAGAAAAGAGGACCATGTTTGGGACAGGACAGCTTCAAGGGCCCATCTCCATCATACCCATTCTGAAGTCCTAATATATTTCCATTCAAAGCAGCAAAACTGCAGGAGGTCACCCAGACATTATTCACAAATGGCCACCTTTCACACTCATGAGTTCCCAGTGGAAGGTAAGGAAGGGACTTCCTGTATACAACTTCACAATTGAGTTCCCTCTCTTTCTGGAAGAGATTTAACAAAATGCTTTGATTCTCTCTTCTATCTCTAAGGTAAATAAATACCAGTTTTCTTATGATGTTTCTCTGGAAGGATGGCATTAGCATTGATGCATATGATTGACTTCCTCACATAGAAATTTTTCTCCTTTGAATCCTAGAGGCAATACCGACCTTTAGTGGAAGGAACAATGGTCACTTTAAGGTTCTTTGTTCGATGTAGATTCCAGGTTTGGTTCTCCTTTTCTGGTAAAAAAGAACAAGGCACAATAGATCAGATATTTGGTTCTTGGCCTCTCATCTGAATGGTTGTTCAAAAACTGTCCACAATTAGCTCTGGTTGCTGAATTTTCTTGTAGCAAGAACTAGAGGAAAATCTAACCCCCAAAGCTACAAACCATCTAATACCCCTTTGGGCTAAGCCTTCAATTTGGCCTTTGCTTGGGTGTATTTTGATAGTATTGAAGCAGTGAGACTGCAGCCCCCCTTCTGGAGTGAAGAAGGCTCAGCTCATCCTCTGCTATCCATGTGGCTCAATATGCCCCAGACATCTGAAGAAAACAGCTCCTAAAATAAAAGCTGTCTCATCTTTTGGTTTGCACTATTCCAGCCAGTGAAAATTTGTTTTTTGTTATATAGTCATAAAAGGACTTGTAGTTTACCAAAGGACAATGGACACCGGCAAAACTCTAAACTATATAATTAAGAGATTAAAGAATACATAAGCAGAAATTTCACCCAAATGGCAAGAGAACGATGTATACTCAGTAGTGAACACCCTCTGTGTTAATCACATGTGGCTCCTCAGCTGCTGGGGGAGGGGTCTGTGTTTTCAATCAACAGCCTATGCCATTCCCACAGTAGTTCCTAAGTAGTTACCCATAACCATTTTTACTATGCCTAAGAGCTCACACAGTCCCTGTCATGGGGATAAATTGTCCACTTTGCTTTCTTACCATCTTGCCAGGTATAAAATTTTGGCAACTGAAATTGAGAACTCTGAATTTTCCTTGTATGTCCTTGTGGAAATGATGACTACTGATAGATACAGTGGCTCATTACTGTTGGCTACCAAACTGATCTTAGAAAGTGGACCTTGATATGCTGCATAAAATCACTATTACATAATAGCAAATATTTGTTGAGTAAAAGGCCAACTGAGTGAGTAAACCTCACGTGGTCTGAGGGAGCAGAAGACTTTGAAAAGATGTAGGGCACTAAGTGACATCCTGTAGTATCAACAATAGCTTTAGATTGATCATTTTCTTCCTTATATATATTTTTTCAAATATCTCTCAGACTGCCTGGCAAGTGACTGCTGATGACCCTCAGTGAGAACTAGAGATGGTAGTAAGAGGCCACTGTGAGCTTTTGCCTTCCCTCCCATTCCATTTCATTAGGTTTTTCTAAGTAGCAAGCATTCCTCACTATCTCTTACCCTGGATAAAGAAAGATCCTCCACAGGCATAATCTTCAGGCTTTATCACAAATACCACGAAGAACTGCTTGCTTGGAAAATCCTTCTTCTGCATAAGACATAACAACTTGTGATAGCAAGAAAGGATAGCAAAAGGGGAGAAAGTCCATGCTGGTGGGGGTGTGAACAGAGAGGAAAGAGAAGAAAAGTGAAGTTCACCCCTGCCCCCTAATTTCTTAGAAAGAACCTTCAAATACCCATGATTTACATCAGATTTTATCCACAATAAAATAATTGTTACATACAAAAAATTCAAGTACATACACTATTCTAATTTCAATCTATCTTGTGTCCACTTAGGTGCTTAGAACTGTAATAGGTCCCATGTAAAAAGTATGTTAACAGCCTATGTTTAATAATTAATACTTGTATATTATGTTTTTAAAATTAGCATACTTTAGAGTGTTTTAGGTTCACTATATTAAGTTTTTATTATTTAAAATCTAATGATAGGGGTGCCTGGGTGGTTCAGTTGGTTAAGCGTCTGCTTTCAGCTCAGGTCATGATCTCAGGGTCCTGGGATCCAGCCTGAGTCTGGCTCCCTGCTCAGCGGTGGGGGGGGGGGTGCGGGGAGGGGAGGATTCTGCTTCTCCCTCTCCCTCTGTCCTTCCCTGCTCCCTTCCCCCCGTGTGTGCTCTTTCTCTCTCTCAAATAAATAAATAAAATCTTTAAAAAATAGAAAATAAAAATAATCTAATGATAAATGACTTTCCTAAAAGTCACACAGCCACAATTAAATAATTTAGGTTAGGGATGCAAAGATTTAAGTGAGGCGACCTGAGTTATAGTCCTGGCTTTAACTTTCTCTAAGTGTACTTCTCTGTGTCCCAGTCTCCTTATTCAGGAGTGAACAAGAACAGATATTTGGCATATCAAAACTGAGGCACTAGGAAATTAAAGCCTAATAGGGCTTTTTACATTTGATAGCTAAATTATAATTAACCTCTCTTCATTCCTTGTTATTTAGTAAACAGTATCACCTTACCCTGGAGAACAGACCAAGTTGTAAGTAACTTAAGTAAACACCACCCTAAAGGCAGGGACAGAATCTCTTTGAAAATCTACTGACAGGATATATGTTCATTTTTGCTATAAAACTGTCATTGAAATAATAATTTAATTACAAATGACAAAAGGGCAAACCGCTATACACATGTGGTCTATATTCCTTTGAACTTATCCATTCTATCCAGAATGGAAGTCCTCTTTTGGTTACTGTTATAGGTATACAGAGTATTAGGATACAGAGTATTCAATTCCTTTTAATAGATCAAACTTCACACTAAATTGGCATCCCCCAATGAGGAGATTGGTATCTCATCTTACCTCTCTAAGCAGTCTGTCAGATATATGTTCCACTGCATCATGGGTTCCTAAGACTTCCCAAGGGGAATGGCAGAGTAGCGTTGTCCACCATGGCCTGGGCTTTGATTTCAGGAGAAGCGATCTTTGTTTTATTTTGTTTTACTTATTTTTACTCTTATTATTTTAAATTTTATTTATTTGAGAGTGAGAGAGAGAGAGCACGACTGGGGGATGGGGAGGAGTAGAGGAAGAGGGAGAAGGAGCAGACTCCCCACTGTGCAGGGAGTCCGCAGTGGGGCTTGATCCCAGGACTGCAAGATCATGACCCGAGCTGAAGGAAGATGCTTAACTGACTGAGCCACCCAGGGGCCCCACAATCTTGATTTTAAAACCCATCATAAAGGAAAGCTATCCAAGGCACACAGTGAATGATGATACCTTCTGGATGCTGGCCCAACAGGTGACCTGACTGTGTGTTGTGAATAAACTGTGTATTGTCATTGACAATAGTGACCCCAAAAGTGATGTCTCACCTGTAGTGTGATGGCAGCTTTCTTGGTCATAGACTGATAGACACCATTAAATTCCACATTGTGGTCGAGATCATGCACTGGGCACTGTGATGTGCATGAAGGATAAAAAAAGAAAGCATCACTAAAGCCATACTATACACACCACACATTCTGCCTGGATCACAGAGCAAGGGGTTCCTTACTAAACCCAAAACCAGGAAACATTTTCTCCAAGAAAAGTCACACAACAGTCCTCCTAAAACTTGGTGCCTTGTCTTCTAAAATTCTCTAAAGGTCACTTTATATCAAAAAGAACTGAAAACATTGTCTTAAAGTTTATAACACCTTTCCCATTTTTTATTAACACATTATGAGACAGAAATGGCCTATGGTTACAATAAAAATTTTAAAACCTAGAATAAACAGTAGGTTTCTATGTTTCTTGAGCAGCCCACGATTTGGTCTTCCATATTCTTTGTCATGATCCTCCCTCCCTTCCTTCTTTCCTTTGTTTATTTTGGTGAGGAGTCAACTAGTCTCCATCTCCCCAAATCAGTGTCTCCAAACAGATTATCCACTTGTGTGCACAAGATACTGATTTTATTATTTAGCAGTTTTGCAGGAGATACAGGGTAAGAGGACGACATGGTCCCTACCTTCCTCTTTGATTTATCCTGGGACAATATTATGCTCCATATTGAAAGGTTCACAAGTTATTAAGACTCACCGTGATATTCTGCACTGAGACAACAGAACATGGATAAGCCATTTCAGACCTGACTTTAATAATAACTGAGTCCACATCATCAGGAAATTTGTATAGAAAATACTGAGAATAAGAAAAAGAAAGAAATGATTTGTTAATATTAAAGAATGTTTACAGTTATGAATTCAAACTGGTTTTACAATCTCCATTAATTCAGTCAGCCATTCATCTCACATATATTGAGCAACTGCTGCGTGCAGGGCTCTGGGCTCTGAGCCAGATATTAGGCATACAGCAGTGAACAAAACAAGGTAGCCATTTCAGACAATGTTGTCATTTCATTTGTTAGCATTTCTTTCTCAACTAAACTTTCCTGTACTTCATTCCAGTTTCTGCTTAAGAAGATCCCCCCAACCCTTTGAACTAGGGATATTCAAGATGTAACATGAGACAACATTTACTTCTATGTGATCATTTTGAAATAGGAAGCTCCACATTGAAAAGCAGATAAGCCTGTTCTTCAAGATTCTTAACAACCTTCCTTTAGGCAAGAATTTCCACTAGACCTACCCTGCACCTAGACTTCTTGCTAAAGAATCTGTTTCCTGGCTGGAATATAGCCAGACAATATTTCCATTCAAAGATCAAGCACTACTTCTAGTGCCTTGAAATATGTTCACAATTTGGAGCAGGCTGAGATATCTTCAAAATTATTTCTCAGGTATCATCAGAATCAGGAAGTATTTATAATAGAAAGAAGTTATACCAATTTACCTAGATTAGATTATGAATCCACTGTTGGTAACCCTGACTTTTCAACATGTTGCCAATAAATGAAGAAAGGAAGCTTCTGTCCAATAACTATAAATGTGGTAACTGCTTGAGAAGCTTGACATTAAGATTTTGAGGACACCAGCCAAAACAAGCCCAATATCCTAGGACTCTAATAAATCTATCAGTTTAAAGGAGAGGCAAGACATGTTAAAACTTAATTCTGTATTCCAGCATCTTCTTTACTAACCTTATACTGAGAACCAGAGCAATAAAAATAGAATGTTGTCCAATAATCCACAACCTTCTGATGGGGAAAAAAAATAACCTCAAGATTAAGGAGTGTCATTAACGCTGCAGTTTGGAAGTCTGTTCATGCCTTGTAACAGATGGCAACACTCCCAAGAACCCACTTCATTTGGACCTTTCATTTTGGAGCTTGATTCAAATACATATAATACAGGGCTCTTCCAAAGGTAAATGCTCTGGAATTTTCAAGAGGTATTTTTGGTTCTTAGAAAAGCCGAACTTTGTAACCCAAGAGCATTACTGTGATCACCGTTAGCAATAGGAGTATCATATATATTCCTATATACTATAGGAGTTGGTTTTGTCACTGGGTGGCAGTGTATACGCAGTGTGGAGGCTCTCACTGATGGGAAATCTAGCTCCTAAAAGATGTGTGGGAGTTGGCTCATACAGGTTTGGAGAGCCAATTGCACACATCTCTTCCCAACTCTGTATTCAAGGACATCATGTTGGCAGCTTTAGATTAGCCAGAATAGAAGTATTTTCACCACAGAAATGGGCAAATGCTACAAATCAGGAGTTTCTCTCTGGGAACTGGTTGTTAAATATTTACCAGCAAGTAAATGCCTGTAATCGAATTACACCAGTATCCATATATATGTTAATCCCAGTTTTAGCATATCCAAAACAAAAAATTAAGTAGCCACGTATGACCTAAGCTGTATTACAGCCTGCAGAAGATTTACAAAAAATATCAGGACATTAAATAAATCTGTTATAAACTTGCTATTGCATAGACTTTACTCTTTCAGAAGCCAAGAAAGAAAAAAGGAAGGTAGCTAGAAGTGTCAACAGAAAAGCGGCTTAAATCAAAGTTTTCAAGTATTTATTCTGTTTATGATTATGGTTTAATGGAGAACACAGCACAAATATCTAATTCTTCTCATGTCAGCATTCCTGGTCTCTCTTTATGACAGGAATAACTAATTTATTCTACCCATAACACTGTGGAAATTAAAGTCTGTCTTGTTTTTATTGCATTTCTAGGTCAGTTAATTATTTGTGTACCTGTATTGTGTTTGGCCTTCCACTCCCTGGCCCCCCAGCACCCATTTTGAATACAAGGTCCATGAGGGCAGAAATTGCGTCTCTTTCTTCTTCACCTCGTATCCCCAGCACCTAGGACAGCCTAATGCTGTCCTTGGTGCATAACAGGCATGAAATTTGCTAAAAGTTGAGCCAACGAACATCTGCCAACAGATGTCACGCCTCCTATTTCACACCAATTAAGGTGAAAAGATTAAACGTTGTGTCTAAAATCCCAGTAATATGAACAACACGTCAAAAATGCAAATATATCACAAGTTGTAAAAAGTCAAGGGCAACACTGCATGCTGACTCTGCCTATTACTATGGCTTTTTGGAGGGTATTGTCAACAGGTAGAATCACGATAACCTTGAAACCCTTCACTTACCTGAGGTTGAGAGGGGCTGGCAGTGAAGTGAAAGGCAACATTTGTCCTGAGAAATGTACATGGGAGAGGGAAAAGGGGGAAAAGTGAGAGAGAAGCTAAGTTAGCAAGCAAAAATGATTTATGTAAAAGAAAACCATCCGAAAGTCAATGTAAGGAAAGCCTTATCCTTTGTGAAATGAGTTCTAGTCCCATCAAACTGACAAAGTAAACAGCATGAAGATTTGGTTTCAATTCTCAAGAATGATAAAATTGGGGAGAGGATTGATTTTATGTCTTTATATAACCATGATGTCATACCTATAAAAGTAATTACTTGTTTGCTTTTGCAGACACTTTTGCCCTTTGGATTCTCTTAAGGTTTTACAACCAAGCACAGGGTTTGGGTGTCAGAAGTGGGCTGAAAAATAGAGGAAAAGAAGGCTTGAGGTCCTTTTGGATAATGTAGGTCGCACTACAAAATAATTTGGATGTATCCATGCCAAGAGATCATTATTTTAAACGTGGTGAATACATCATCACCATGGGAGGGGTGCTGGGGCTGGAAGCATACTCTTCCTGCCTCCAAGCACTTCTCCAATTGCCTGCCACACCAGCTAAAATTTCTGTCCAAGACCGTGTCCTCTTCAGTTTACGCACTGCCTTCTAAGGCCATCCTCTAAAATGCAAATACCACCAAAAGAATATAATGAAGCTGTTTTCTCTCCAGTTGGTAATTTACTGTGAACTATTTTTTTAAAAAATATTTTATTTATTTATTTGACAGAGAGAGAGAGAGCACAAGTAGGCAGAGAGGCAGGCAGAGGGAGAGGGAGAAGCAGGCTTCCCGCTGAGCAGGGAGCCTGACGTGGGGCTCGATCATGACCTGAGCCGAAGGCAGACGCTTAACTGACTGAGCCACCCGGGCGCCCCTTACTGTGAACTATTTTATTAGATATTTTTGTTCTTCTGTGAAAGACAGCCTGAATCCTGCCCTGAGGAAAGGCAAGTGTGAAGAGCTTGTGGGAAACACACCCTTGTAGTACAGAAGGCTGGCTGGCTGGCATGAACACATGTGAACCGGGTTAAGAAGCTGGAAAACACAAAGACAAATTGGTTTTCTCTACAGTTTTGTAAGGGCTGTTTTTGGCCTTTTGCGCTTTCTGGCTCCTGCCTCATCTTTAGCCGTGAAGATGGCTCACACAAGCCCACTGCATTCTCAGTGCTGCCACCTGGGGACAAGTCTGTCCCCACCCCGCCAGTCTGGCCTGCATTTCAGGGAACCTGAACCTGAACTTGTCCTGGGGCCCCTTCCCAACTTCATGCCTTGGTGCTCCCTGAAGAGTCTTCCTCTCCACGAATTTTCCTTTTATAAAAGTTAGAACAGTTTAAAAAACTTTACTGAAGATTCCTTTATAAAGGACATGTCAAAACATTTAACAAGAAGTTTATAATTGGAGGTGTTGTTTAGAAGTCATAAAACTTGAGTGCTATTTCTAAATTTAATGACCAACAATTTTAGGCTGTTGGCAGACTGGGTGCAGAATTTAGCAATGGGTGCAATTTTTTATGTAGCTACTCCCAACAGAAATGATCAGTGTCAAGGACTGCTTCTGTTGAAGTGCAGTTAAAGACTTGTGGTCCAAAGTCAGCTAAAGAAGGCAAAGTCAGTGTCAAATGCAGTTGTGTGTTGACTCCTGAGATTCCAAGACCAGAGTCGGGACCCCTGTGCTGCATGTGGCTTGGGGGCTCCCTCTCAGCAGTGTGGTGTCATCTGCTGTTACCAGGGCAACACGGGGCCTGAGTTCGGTTCAGTTGCCAGGTCAGGGGAAAGAAAAAGACACTGATTTTCTTGGCTAGCAACAGACAGCAGGAGATTTCCAGATGCAACCAGTTTTCTTTGGCCAGAAATTTCTTTTGTATACTCCCTTATCATTTGAATTCCAGTTGTAACACTGAATGTATGGGCATCAATATGATTTTTTTTCCTTGTTCTTTATGTTTTCCTTACTGGTATAATACATACAAACCTCAAAACCATTATTTTCTTTAAGACTATAGCATTTAAGTCCTCTCTTTCTACAGAATCAACAGTGTATGCAAAATAAACATTGTGTCTGCTGCAGATGAAACATGTCGCTTCCTTCCCCAGGGGGCCCTGCCACAGGTTGGGGAAGGTTTATTTATAAGAGTCGTTAACCAATAGAACAAAGCTAATTGAGACTCCTGCACAACTTTAGAGAAAAAAAAGCATAAAATCTTCAACCTATTTGTTTAAACAAATTAAGCACAGGAAACAAATACTTATTCGATAAATAAGAAAAACTCAAAGCTGACTTTGTTCCCTTGTTTTGCTTAGTTTGAGGGAGAGGGGAAGAGAAAAGGACCAGATGGCGTCCAGAGAGCTCAGTGTGCAGATAAGGGAGACAGGAGAAGAAGAGTGAGAGGAGAAATCCATACAGGAGAGTAATAAAACAGAAGAACAAGGAAAGGGGGATGGGAAGAGAGGGTGGGTGGGAAGAGAGGCAGGGATAAAAGCTAAGTTGTTTTGGGGGTGAGTACCAGAGAAGACTGTGAGATTCCCGGCATCTTCTTCATCCTGTGATAGCCAGGCCCTGGCACAGAGCCCAGTGTGTGTGCAAAACCCCCACTTTGTTTGCTGAAGGAAATTATGCCCTATTATTCACTTGGACTATCGACTTCAGAATATCATTCCCTGTTATCTCCTTACTGCCATCTGTTATGAACTCCCTTCGCTCACCACAACCCTTCCAGCAGCCCTCTGATCATGTGTAACCTTCCACTTCATCGCTTTGGTCTGAGTATAAACTCTGCATGCATCCTTTCTTTCCTTCTCTGGGACTCTGCTTCTATAAAATTCAACGTCCTATAAATTTTATATACCCTTGGCTTATAAATATATACTAATAGCAACCACTTTCAAAATAAATTTTAAAAAAACCCACCCCAACAAAATGCCTCCCCTTTTTCTGTATCTTGCTCCTTTGATGTCATTCTCTATCCTCCCTCTCCTTCACAAACCAGCTTCTTAAAATCGTATTCTGCTTTCATGCCTCATTTATCCTTTCCTCTCCTCACTGCTGTCAGGAATTCTTTCCCCACCATCCCCCTGAAGTTGCCTTTGCTGAGGGTAATAATCACCTCCTAATTGCTAAATCCAGTGACTTCAGCCTTAACTTGACCTCTCTGTGGCATTTGACTCTGACGACCACTCCCTCTGGAAACTCTTTCCTCCCTTGGGCTCTGTGACACTTGCTTTCCTGGGTTTTCTTCTGCACCCTCCCGCACCTCTGCTATGTCTGCTCAGCTTCTTTTGTTTTGTTGTTTTTTTAAAAAAAGATTTTATTTGTTTGACAGAGAGAGACACAGCCAGAGAGGGAACACAAGCAGGGGGAGTGGGAGAGGGAGAAGCAGGCTTCCCGAGGAGCAGGGAGCCCGATGCGGGGCTCGATCCCAGGACCCTGGGATCATGACCTGAGCCGAAGGCAGACGCTTAACGACTGAGCCACCCAGGCTCCCCTGCTCAGCTTCTTTTGATAACTCCTGCTTCTCAGACCATCCCTTACATAAGAATGTTACCCGCTATTCTTGACCTTCTCATTTTCCTTAGCCACGTACCTTATATATATATTCAGTTGCCATAAAAACCACATATATATTCAATGGCCCCAAAACTCACAAAAAATATCAGTGAATCGCAAGTCTCCATGTCTAGCCCAGGGCTATCCCTTGAGCTCCCGTCATGGAAGAGTGATCGTCTGCTGGGCTTCTGTGCTTGGCTGCCCCTCAAACACTTCAAACTCCACAGCATCAAAACGGAATGTGCTGTCATTTTCCTGATCCCGACCCACTAAGGCTCTTTGCTTATAGTAAGCCTCACCAGACTTCTGACATCATTGCTGGAGTCATCGTGGACTCCCTTTTTATCAACTTCCACATTTGATTGATCACCACGTCTTACTGACTCTATTAATGTATAAGTAACCCGGATGTACCTGACTCACCTGAAGTACCATCTTTGCCCAATATAGCATTCAATAAGAAAAAAATTGGAAAAGTAATGGAAATCATTATTGTAGTCTACCCCCAAATACCAAAGGGTGATTACATAGCATGACACATGGCAAAATGGTCTAAAAGCCTCCTCACTTACCCATTTCCTCAAAAAATCTACTACTTTTCATAGCATCGTAGCGGTGCGATTTCACTCAAAAGTCTCTCAAAACAAAGACTCAAATCCCTACTTAAAAGGCTGGAGGAGGGTTGAAGCCTGCAAATACTCGTGTAGGACTGTATTTTTTATTCTGCCACATGTATTTTTGTTTAGTTTGTGGATTATCCCTATGTATATTACTTGACTCTTTTTCTCCGTTACAGCTTTGTTGCTGCTATAATATGTTCAGTTCCTAATCATTGTTTATTTTTCTCTATTCAAATAACTTTTCATTTTCTTATTTGTCTCTACCCTCTCCTCTCTCCAATTCATCTTCCACGTGACTACTAAATTCATCTCTAAAAATCAGATTTGTTTATTTTATTGTGTTGCTTAAAAGCTTTAGTGGCTCCCATAACCTGAAAGGTGGAGTTTAAACTCCCTAGCGCAGGGGCACCTGGGAGGCTCAGTCAAACATGTGACTCTTAACTTTGGCTCAGGTCATGATCCTGGGGTCACGAGATTGAGCACTGTGTGTGGCTCCATGCTCAGCAGGGAGTCTGCTTGGGGTTTTTTCTCTCCCTCTCCCTGTGCTCTTCCCCCTGCTTGCACGCATGCTCTCTCTAAAATAAATAAATAAAATCTTAAAAAAAAAACCCCAACAGCTCTCTAGTGCAGCATACAGGATCTCAAAGATCAAGGATCGGGTACTATGACCTGTTTCTCCGTGCTGTCTCCTGTTATTCCACCTCAGGCGCTGTGTGGACCAGCCTCCCTGAAGCACTTCTACTCAGTCTGCTATCTGTAATCCAGAACTTTCTTCTGAGCACCAGGCTGCTGTATATCCAACATTCTGCCCAACATCTGCACTTCAAGTTCAACATGTCCCAAAGTGA